CTCAAGGTCTGACAAGTTAGGCGAGTGGGAAAGTGTCCTGAAATGATTTTGTCTTTATTGGCCACCAGTGAACGTCCCTATGAGTAATTATTCTCCCAAAATACTCACATGCAGTGTGAAGCTTTTTTGTTCTGACTGCTCTGGAGGATGTTCATAAAAATAATGAGGCACGTTTCTGCAAACACACACAGACTTACTTAGCCACGCACTGTGCAGAAGTCAGCACCCACTGCTTTGCAACGATGGTGCCGCCGCAGCCCCATTTCACCATTTTCGAATCATGAGATGTCATGTTGAGGTGAACCATCCATGGCCAACTTTCCTTTTTGGCATCCTCTGCACCAATGATGGAGCTCCTCACTTCATTTCCCAGTAGACCTGAAAAACACAAACAAAATGCTGGATGTAAGTTTGAGGCATCTAAGAAAATTAAATCCCATCAAAGTAAGAGCTGTTTGCTATTTTGCTCAGAATGGATGATAAACATTAGAGCATCAGTCTATCGAGGCTGCACTCTGAAATCTGGGCTCTGGAGTTGGGAAATTAAGGTTCAGCATTTTTCTCTCTCACCACCACTGTTGTGGAGCAGTACCAACACAGTTAGCAGAAGTTTGCAGAAAGCCATGGCCGTGATGAAGAACAGTGTAGCAGTACCTCTGTGTGGTGAGGGGGGAACAAGTGCAGCTTTATATGCACTGCTGGAGAGATGACTATCATTAGTCCCGCCCTTTACATCTCAAACCACACCTAAAAAAATGTACATGTGTTTTTCACATACAGTGGAAAAATTGTTGAAGAGTTTGGTTGAATATTCTGGCAACGTGCCAAAAATATACATTTTGAACAATCGAATGCCATCTTTGATGAAAGAGTTTAATTCTTTTATTTGATTTATCTGCACTGCAGACCTGTTAGTGTGACACATTGTGCTTGAAAAGTTACCTGCTACTGCTGTGTTTAATTTCCACTTAAATTATCTAAAACTGGGGGGTGGTGGAGTTAAAGTGTAAGGCATAAAAGGTGTGGTCTCAGTAGAATTTCCATCTCCACCCTAAATGACCTTAGCCCTTCCACCCTTATTATTATTTATTATACTATATAACTGCTCTTGTATACAGACCCACAATGTTTCTGTTTCAATGGTTCTTACGCATACTCCATGTATATAGTTTCACTCACATATATGTATCCATATATGCTTTTTATTTTATTTTAATTATTTATTTATTTTCCCCTTGTTGTATATTGTTTTCTCTTCTTACCTTTGCACCTTTGTGGTCCAGCTACCCAATTTCACTGTGCAAGAAACTGCACAATGACAATAAAAAACTCTAAGTCTAAGTAAAGGTCTCGAGCATGTACGACTGAAAGGGAGCGAAGGGAAAATGGAGACAGAAAGGCAGAGGAAAGGGCAAGGACCGAGTACTCGTACTCCAACTATTGAGACCTGTGTACTCATTGCAGAGACCTAAGTTCTGTTGTGTTTGCCATTTGCTGCATATCCCTCGATCTCTCGCTTTACTTTATTGCCATTCAAACCTCTAGGAATAAAAAAAAAGCCACAAATAAGTCACAAAAGAAAAGTTGTCATTGAATTCTGTCACACTGATAATTCACATTAGTAAGTAAACTGAAGCACAGATGGAAAGCCCAAGGTGGCATAGCAGGTAGTGAAATGAAAAGGCACTTTAGCTGCTACTGGAAAACAAGCAAAGAACAAAGGAGGGAGGAAAAAATACAAAAAGCTAGAAAATAATGAGGAACTAAACTGAAAGGATAGACAGGAGGAAGATGGAAAAGAAAGACTTTTAAGAAGCTTGAAAACAAAGGTTAACGACATGGAAAGCACAAAGACTGTGAAAGTCTTATTCATGTGAGTGAATGTGAGTAGCTGATAAATGCTTGGTAATGCAAAAAGGTTTGAAAGGTAATGAGTGCACGATTTATTTATTTATTTAAAAAAAAAATTTGAGGGGGGGATTTTGCAGCCGCTGATTAAGTTGTTATTTTTTGATGCATCTCCGTATCTCGTTTTTATCTTTCCACATCTATACAGGCTCCTCGGTTTGTGCAACAACTTACGTGGTGATGCTGAGCGCCGCACATGACATTCTCGAGAAACAAGAGTCACGAAATGAAACGGCGTCTGTAAGAGAACAAATGTGTATTTAAATATGCACTGCTCAAATAAATGAAAGGAATACTTGATCACTGGATTCTGGCACAAAGTCTTCAGAGATGTTGATCTGTCCAATCAGGAAACAGAAACTGCTGTGAATGCATTTCACCTGCTTAGGTGCAAATGAAAGATGCATAAGGTGCACTGGAGGAGTAACAACAACTATTTCTATGTCACTGCTCATAGTAAGAGAAGGTACCTGCAGTCTATTCAGAGTGCACAGCTCTAACCCTGCAGCAGGACTGTCATGTGATGAGGAGCGCTGCCAGAGCTCATATACTCATCATGTTCCAGGCAGAGGATGACTTTGGTTTCCTCTGATTCCATTTCCATCGTTACATCTTATTTTTCCACAATAAACTGCATGATGTACTTTACCAGTTCAGATTCTCAAGTTAAAAATCTCATTCATTGAGATCTGATGTGTGACTCAAGTGTTCCCTTTATTTTTTGAGCAGTGTAGTTTGGCAGTGGTCACGATTCAAAGTCGTTTTTATTTTTAGGGTTAAGTGAACTTCTCAGCTTTTATGAGTGGAAAAGAGGACAAGAGGAAGACCTCAGAGGAGATTGATGGATGGTAGTGAAGGAGGGCATAAGGATGGATGGTGTGGCAGAAACTACAAGCTGTATCATTTGTGTCCACAGATGTTCAGTTGTTACATTTTTCTTGGCAGGCTGTGCTGTTAGCTGACATCCTACCAACACTCTTCATCAAACTGTTCGCTCCCTTTGTGATCCACAAAATGCCTTATGGGTAATTATTACTTTGATTGCTGTTCTTTGTTTCCACTTGCTGTGTTTTTACAGTAACTAACAATCATCACTCACATTATTGGTACGATCTGATTTCACTGCACTGATAATAAACAAATAGTTGTTTCTTTGACAAACTTGCAAATGACAAAAACTGTGACGTCCTTCCTGTTTTACAGTAGTGTGTTTGTATCAGGTGTCAGGATTTTAGCCCCACTGGCAACATGAGGTTTGAGTTTGGTTTAAAAAAAGAGAAAGAAGAAGAAAACAACAAGAACTTTGTTTTATTTGCATATTATTCCCACTCAATCCCACCTTTGGCGCTCTTTTTGTGCTGCTGCTAAGCTGCTGTGATGTCTTTTGGCAATAATGATCTCCATTTGTTTTCGTCTGGCTTTAATGTTTTCATGTATATAAGATGTTAAATTTATGAATGAGAGCTTAGCAGTGACCAAACATATGAAATTGGAGCAATAAAAAACCTACTTGGTTAATGGCTGTGCCTGGTTTCAGTGGCCCCGGCTGACTAATCAGAGCTGAAAAAGAAAAGAAAAATTGGACTTTATATGTTTTGTGTGTGATATAGTCAGGAAGTCAGTTGTTAACAGACCGAGTTCTTCTTGCTGTCTGCATAAAAACATCGCTGTCATGGTGCTTTCCAGCTTTCCTGGTTAATTCCTGTTCTTTTATCCCAGCATTCGAGTGTGGTTCTGTGCCATCATGGCAGCAACGAGTTTCCTCCTGGTGTCCTTCTCCTCAGCTGTGTGGATGAGTATTCTCGGTAAAGCAACCTGTTAATAATTCAGATCAGATCTTTTATCATTAAGGGTGTCTGATATGGCTCTGATGAGCTTTTAGAAGGTGGATTAGATAAAACTTTGAGTTTAATTTCTTCTTATCTACTGTGAGCATCTGTGGTTGTTCCACAGAAGCTTGATAGAGCTTTACTGCTGCTATAAATAATAATTTATCGTACCAGTTCACGCTTCTGTCAAATACACATATCAAAGAATTTATGAGAAGTAGGCAGTTTAATATGAATCAGCAGTCGGTTACGGGACAGCGATAATGCTTCGATGAATTTTCGGCATGTCCCATGATGAGCTATGGAGCCATTTTAATGACCCTGTTTGTCCTGCTCTTTTTCTGTGTACTAGTTTGTATTTAACTTGGAATGACTCCACAAAGTACTCTGCTGGAATCACAAATTGAAGATGACCAACATTTTGTCGTTTGGAAAAGTTCCAGTGAAAGAGTGGATGAGGGAGTGCTTTCAGGAAATGCTGAGTCTAAAGGTGATGCAGCAGGTGATCCAAGGCACCAAACGTACCAGCCCCAAACTAAAGGCTGCCACCGTAGATACTAGTACTAGTGTTTTTATAGTAATCCTGCTGGCTGTGTATGCATGTAAACCTTTAAAGATGAGTGGACTTTTTGCTGATATGGGGCCAAACTGGCATTTTATATTTAATTTAATTCAGTAGTGATACTGGCACCACAGATCTACTGGAAGAACTGGATACCAGATGCAAAGATGGCCCCTGCTTGCTAGAAATGTCCTGATAGACTGTAAAGGGCCCAGCTAGTGAAATATTTTATAACACAGTGGAGAGGTGAGTCTGGAAATGATATTTTACATCACAAAGAGGGGCGAATTTAGCATTGATATTTGTATCAGTAGGTAAAGGTGAATGCTTGCACAAATAGTAATTTAGATCTGTGCTCACTCTCTGCAACTGAGAGAGTTCAGTGTTTTCTGTGGACTGTGTCAAAATATCATTCGCAGTAGCATTAGAAATGCTGTATTTTAATAGCCAACACTATTTCAGACATTACTGTTAGAATCAAGCAGACCTCTATGTGAATAAAATAAGTCAGTAAAGAGCAACTAAATTCGATTCAGTTCACCAGTAACTAAAATGCAACCATTGTGACTGCCCACAAAGGTCCTGTAAATGAGCTCTTTTTATTGAAGTTTGTTCTTCAAACAAAAGAATAAATTCTTCCACTTTGCTCTCTCTGATCACGTTCTCTGTGGCTGTGTTTGCAGGAGTGATCTTTGCCAGTATCAGCTCAGGACTGGGAGAGTTGTCCTTCCTCTCTCTAACAGTATATTTCAGCAGGTAAACACTCTTCACTCATTCTTTTTGCCAATTTTGAATTTGTGTGTCTATTGTGTTGTTTACATATTGTTGTGATTTACATTGCAGTGCTTGGGAGTCACCATCTACCGGAACCAAATTGCTTGTATGTGTTTGCACATATACATGGGCAATAAACACGATTCTGATTCAGTTGCTGCTCTCTTATTGAAGATTCAAACAGAGCTTGTCCAGATTAAATGACTTGGGTCTGTGACAAAGTGTAGGGTAAAGTTTGCACTTTTGAAATTCTACTTTCTTCACAATCTTTAAGTTCCTGCATGATGAAAAATTGCATGAATTTTACACAAATTTCCATTTATCATTTTCTCCCTGATGTCACCCATTTGTTTCTGGAGCATCATAGTGTTTTATAGAGCCAGAAGCAAGCAGAGGTTGGAGTGCTGTCTCCATGAGTTGTGCACACAGACACACCTGCTCATTAATAAATTACACACTAAAAAAAACCAAAAAACACAAACCAGCAGATTTTTCTCCACCACAGAGTAGGTTATATGACCTTTCAGATAATTTAAAGACATCAGCAGCACAAATTTAGCTGGCCTCAGTAACTGGCTGCGATGACGCCTAGCAGAGAACAGATGGACTGCTACAGGGTTGCAAAAAAAAGTTATGGAGTTATCAATCTGATATTCTTGATATCAGACGTTTTCCATTAAGTTAGGTCGTTTGGGCGCTTGACTCTAAATATCAAGATCCACAGTGACAGAGCTTTTTTTTTTTTCTTTTTTTCTTTTTTTCTGCAGAAAGCATTCGGTTGTAATTGCAACCGACCACAACGATCCAGTTTCAGCCCATTATTTCAACCAGGTTTTGGTTTTTTTTTGCTTTTGTCCCGATTTGGTCTTTGCCATCAGAATTGTTGTCTAAAGGCAAGAAAGATGCCCAACGGATTTACTTTACCAAATTGACCATCCCAGCCTTGCCATATTGGTCCATTTGATTCACCTTTTATTGTTTATTTTATTTTCCTTACAATACGGGACAGACTGACTGGGGGAAAGAAGGGGAAGAAGAAGAAAGAGAGGAAGAAAGAAAACAGAGAAGAGGGACGGGAGAAGGGGAAAGAAAGAAAGAAAAACAAATCAATATAACACCTGGATCACCTGCTGAGAAAGAAAAAAGAAAACAAGCAGAAAGAACAAGAGAATAAATAAAACACACCATCACAATGAAATAGTGGAATATGACAGTAAATACTAAATATAAACATTATTGTGCAGCACAAAGATAACAGACACAGATGTGCTTTGAGGAGAGCCAAAAAGGGTGTAGTTGGTGTGACACCCGTGTGTACACCTGTGAGCATGACCGCTTGATTGCTTTTTAAAAGGTTCTTCCATGTAATGATCTGCTAGAGGGTGTGGGGGCCACAGCCCCGTCCTCCAGGGATGAAGCAGGTATGGAGGAGATCAAACCTCCAGAATCCAGAGGCCCCCAGAACACAAGAGACCAAGGAAGACCAACAGAGGGGCAGGCCGGCCACTGTCCCAGAAAGAGCTGAGGAGAGTCCCAGATGAGGGCTCACTCAGCAGCCGCGGAGCAGAAGCCAGGGGGAGTTGCAGTGACGCGCCCGTGAGCTCCGCCGGCAGCCAGCTGTGACAGAGCTTTTTAATAGTACCTTCAAGAAAATCAGCCAAATTTCCTTCTAACAGTAATCCTGCTTACAGCTTAGACTCACAGCAGATAAAGTCCTGGTCACAAATGAGTTTAAGAAGCTGTGAATGGTCTTCCAACTGTGTTTTTATTTTTACTCTGGAACATTAACGGTGGTTTTCTGTCTGCTCCAGGAGTGTACTGGAAGGCTGGGGCTCAGGCACTGGTGCTGCTGGTCTTATTGGAGCCCTCCTTTACTCAGTCCTCATCCAAGCTGGCCTCCAAGCTCAGACAGTTAGTCCATTCATCATTTTTAGAGTTTTGCATGCCACAGTGAGACTTAACAAGGGTCCAATTTTGAATTAAGCTTCTGTAGGTCTAAGGTGTAGGTAGCCCAATGCTTTCATCTGTGGAGGTGAAGTGGTGGCCAAATAGTCACTTTAATTGAGTTCAGTTGACTCCAGTTCACTTCATTCAAATAAGACATTGACAGGATGTAGTTTGTATTTCCTGTTGAGACT